GAGCAACATAAATCAAAAAGTATTTGCAGTGTAACAAGAACCTCCTTTGCACAACTCCTTAAGAAAATGTGTGATTTTTATGGTGTGTACTGTACAATGGTAATAGAGGTTAAAGGACATTCGAGTGGGTCGATCACAATAAAACAATTCCACATATTTTACAGTCTAATAAAGTCAGATAGTTTTCCCTTAAAGCGTCAGTCAGCAAAAAATAATATATTTTACCTTTGGTTATAGTGGAATATTAAGCAAAGGCCTTTTTTTTGTTGTTGCTAAATTTCAAGCAAAGTGTACAATTTATATATATATATATATATATGCATTGTATATACTTTATCTGTTCTACCTGCCAAAGGATTTGGACCTCTGTCTGTCCAATTCTGGTATTGAAACAGCTCTGTCACCCAGCATAGCCATTTCTGGCAGGACAGACAACCTGATTTTTCTTTCCTGCATTTAAGTAACAATTACAGGTCTTATTACACCCACAGCCAGTGACTGGACATTGAAAGGAGAAGCAGCTGACTAATGAGCTCATCTCTTTGTCACTATGCTTTTCTTCAAATAGCATGTTACTGTCAGCACATGAGCACATCAGCACATTTGACTGGTTCCTTGTTCTGCCTCTCCCTCTCCTAGTATGAGCTGTGCTGTACAGGGGAAGTCAAGTGGCTAATCCCAAGTCAAACTCAGGTACTTTCACTGTTTGCATTAATAAATAATACATTTATTGATTTTTTAATGTCTGCAAAACTACAGACTCCCATTAAAAAATATATACTGTAGCACCAGGGGCGTAATTAGAAATCACAGGGCCCCATAGCAAAATTTTGTATGAGGCCCTGTGATTTCTAGTAACGCCCACCTGATAACCCAAACAGTCCAACTGAGGGTGACCCTGCAGAGCCCACCAGAGACTCTCTATAGTGGGCTCTGCAGGGTCTCAGGTGGGCAGTCAAGCCCTCTTACCTGTCTGCTCCAATCCTGTGTCCGCCTCCCTCTCCTCCACGATCGCTGGCGGATCCCGCCTCCTCGTCACTGGGCCCCACCTCCTCCATCGCTAAGCCCCACCTCCTCCATCGATGGGCCCTGCCCCCTCCATTGCTGCCGATGACGGGCCCAGCCACCTCCTCCGAAGCTGCTGGTTGTCACCGACTCAGCAGCGGCTGTGAGGAGGAACGCGCCACTGCACATGTGAATAGCGGGCGTACCTCCTCACAGCCGCCAGTGACAGCCAGCAACCTGAGATGCCATAGCGACCCAGGCAGCCCGCACGGCATCAGGGGGATGCCCTGGCCGGGCTCCCCAGTGCCCCGGGCCACATAGCGGCCGCCTGGGACGCTATGGTGATTGTTACACACAATTGTTATTGTGTAGCACTTAAATATAAGTGCATCTACACAGTAGTTCCCCCCTTCCCTCCATGCACAGCCCCACCAGTGTTAATCATGCCAGTGACGTCCACCTAATGCAGCTTTATGTTTTAGTGTGACAACAATGCTACACTGCTCCTTAATTCAGAGCAGAGTTGCCACTCTCAAGTAGGCTGTAGTTGTTTGCACTAAATTGGGATGAAAAAATGTTGCAGGGAGCGTGGCTATCGTCATTGTCACTGCTGAATCACAAGACTGTAGCTTGTCAGTCAGCATCTGACCACTCCTGGTCCTGCCCCTGCTTTCTGGATGGAAAGCACCGCCTCTGTTGCTGAAACCCTCCCACTATAAGCTCCAGTGTCTGAGAGGGGGAGCATGTGAGATACAAGAGAAGTGGAGGAAACAGATCAAAAAAATGAAGCTCAAGCAGGGGAATGCATACAGTTCAGGTTCAAACACAAATTCCTCTCCAGTAAGCAACACAGTAGTGACATTTCCAAATCTCACTACAAATCGAATGAACCTAGCAATCACAGGCACCAGTGGCTCTCTCACTGCAGATATACAGCTATGAGACTGGAAACACACCAATTGTTTAGAAGAATTTCGTATTTTGTAGAGTACAGCTTAGGCACAATTAACATTTCTAGGTGTTTACTATAACATAGAAAATCTTCACTTTTTAAGTTTACGTTGACCTTAGGTTCTGGTGTACATATGTTTGAAGACATTTCATACACCTGGGGTGCACATGGTTATAAATGTAACCCGTTCATTGTGTATGGAAACTTTAGAAGGTGTATGATATATTCACGCTAAGCTCTGTCTGCCCGCCAGACGATTTCACATGACACAAAAGCTTTTATATCGTAGCACCCAAATAAATCATGGAAAAGTCCCTTGGTTGAGGAGCAGTATAAATCATGTCAGCTTTTCAGAGCCATCTGGATGGAAACGTCACCTTTAAAATCTTAATATAACTATTCAAAGATGAATTTGAGGAAAATTATAAAGTGGCCACTGGTGATCTGAAAATGTTATGCTTGGCTGTGTCTGACTTCGGCACTGCTGATATGCATACTTGTTCTGTACTAGTGACTCAAAAAGGGCTGCAATTGCAGAGTAAGTATGGCAGCCAGGTAGCTAGCATTTTCAGAGTAAAAGGTTAGCTGTTCAGTGTCTAAAATTATTCAAGACGCTCCAAAGGCCCATTCAGACCTCTCCAGTGTAGTGGGTTGCAGGATTGCACACATTAATGCATGTTACATGTGTTAATGCATAAACGCAACACACCACCAACACATGTTTTGCAGCACACTACAATGCATGATAACATACTACCATCTGTTGCAGTGTGCTGTGCTGGAAAAAATTGTTTATTTCTATTTTTTGGTCCGTTCTGATGCATGGCATTGATAACCCAATATTTGAATGGCCTGCCTTGAAGAAACTCATTGGAACAGAGAGGTCTGAATGGGCCTTTAGTTGTGCACTTTAGGCAGAGCTGCAGTACCATAAGGTGTAGGTGTAGCTACAGCCATAAATCACTTTACTCACACTTCATGTGAATCAATAAGGCACTTGTCAAATCATAAATAAAAATTGAGCTCACAAGTTTACACGTTATAAGAGGGGTCCCCACATTTTTTAAACAAAGGGCCAGTTCACTGTAATTCAGACTTTACAGGAGTCAGACTGTGGTCATTGGGAGTGAGAAGTGGACCTAGCACTGGTGGTCAGTGGGAGGAGAAATAATGTCCCATCATTGGCATCAGTTGGAAGAATAGTGCCCCATCATTGGTGTCAGTAGGATCAATAGTGTCCAATCATTGGTGTCAGTGGGAGGAATAGTGCCCCATCATTGTTGTCAGTGGGCGGAATAGCAGCCTATCATTGGCCTCAGTGGGATCAATAGTACCACATCATTGGTGTCAGTGGGATCGATAGTACAACATCATTGGTGTCAGTGGGAGGAATAGTGTCCCATGCATGATGTCGGTGGGATCAATAGTGCTCCATCGTGGGATCAGTGGGAGGAATAGTGCCCCATCATTGGCATCAAGTGGGATCAATAGTACCACATCATTGGTGTCAGTGGGAATCGATAGTACAACATCATTGGTGTCAGTGGGAGGAATAGTGTCCCATGCATGATGTCGGTGGGATCAATAGTGCTCCATCGTGGGATCAGTGGGAGGAATAGTGCCCCATCATTGGCATCAAGTGGGATCAATAGTACCACATCATTGGTGTCAGTGGGAATCGATAGTACGACATCATTGGTGTCAGTGGGAGGAATAGTGTCCCATGCTTGATGTCGGTGGGATCAATAGTGCTCCATTGTTGGTATCAGTGGGAGGAATAGTGCCCCATCATTGGCATCAAGTGGGATCAATAGTACCACATCATTGGTGTCAGTGGGATCAATATTACCACATTATTGGTGTCAGTGGGAGACATAGTGCCCCATCATTGGCGTCAGTGGGATCAATAGTACCACATCATTGGTGTCAGTGGGAATCGATAGTACGACATCATTGGTGTCAGTGGGAGGAATAGTGTCCCATGCTTGATGTCGGTGGGATCAATAGTGCTCCATCGTTGGTATCAGTGGGAGGAATAGTGCCCCATCATTGGCACCAAGTGGGATCAATAGTACCACATCATTGGTGTCAGTAGGATCGATAGTACCAAATCATTGGTGTCATTTAGAGGAATAGTGTCCCATTATTGGTGTCAGTGGGAGCAGTGGCGTAACCAGAGTTATGGGCGCCCGGGGCAAGTGACCCCCCCGCACCCCCGGTTGTTACGCCACTGATGTGCCGCAAAGCTGATCTTTCAAGTAACTTCTATGGAGAGGGGATGAAGTAGGGAAAAAGGAATGATTGGGGTAGATTTTCTAGGTTCTTCAATTGCTAATATAGTGACTGGCTGGAGCTAGAGCCTTCCAAAGACATGGACTCAGGAACTACTCACAGCTACTGGGATAGGTAAGGTGGCCAGTCCAGAGAAGGCTGCATTTTGGAAGGTGAGAGGAAATCTGGTCTGAGGTCTGACATTTTAATTACCTGATATGCAGTAGTTGAAAACCTGCTGATCTGGCCATTGTTTGGCCAATTTGGGCAACTGTAATTGTAAGCCAGCACTGTTGGTGTCTGTTTCCTCCACTGCTCCTCATACACATAAGCAAGAATGGTTTTCTGGGGCTACCATTTGTATCTAAAGATGTGGTAGCTAATGCAGAGAACTGTGTGTCTACACATGCAACAGGGGTTTTATACTTCCCTATTAAATGCAAAACTAAAAGAAAAATGTTTTGGCTATACATACACTTTCATTAGTAGAAAAAGTGTGTGTGTGTGTGTGTGTGTGTGTGTGGTGGTGATGTTGGTATGGAGTTTTAAGTTTTGCTAATGCCCTTATTTCAGACCTTCACACAGCGTGCCTTTGGAGGATACTGAGCCAAAGTGTGGTGAAACAATGAACCCCTATGCAATATCAATGTTTTAAAGGCCTGCATCATTTTATATAGTGGTAGTTGCAGTGGATGGATCATATCAACATTGGTGACAGTTGTGCCTGTTTCATCTATAGTGGTTCAAGGCTATGCATTTAACAATCACTTACGTATTTTTCTTGAATGCTGAACAGTAGACACCACCGTGGTACTGGGCACAATTTTCCACTCAAGGTCATTTTCTTTTGTCTTAGTAGGAATGGGATCAATCCTCAGAGTGGCTTCAACTACTTTGGTTCCCCCATCAACTGTGTTATCTCCTTTTTCAGTGAAACCGTTTGTGGACTCCTCAGGTTCTTCTTCAACTACAGCCCAATGAGCTGTTCTTATCTCCATAAATTCATCACCATCACTCTCTTTTGCCTCGTTGTTGCTGATATTTTCTTCCCTCACGCAGTCATCTGACACGGCATTCCAAGTTTCATGTTCCATTTCTACACTCTGATCCATGAAATCACAAGGTAGTCCATGTCCCACTATAGATCCATTCTGTGGAATTATGTTGGACTTCAACATCATGGCTTCTTGTTCTTTTTTGGAGGAAACAGGCCGTCACTTAAAACCACAGTGGAAAAATTTTCAACTTATAGCTAACCATCCTCTAGAAGGTTTAATAATAAAAAGAGAGAATACAGCTTCCCTTCATGGAACTACAGCTGGTGTGTTCTGCGATATTGTTTGTATGATCAAAAACATCACTATTAAAGGTTTTTTTTTTTTATACCTCTGTTTGCCACCTGACAGGTTACTTCATATTTTCCATAGAAATAGAATAAGTTCTGCACTTTTATAATATCACTGATAGCAACTTATAATAGAATCCAATGTTTTTGTTTCTGCAGGGAAGGCAGATGGAGTGTGATCTAATAGGCACTTCTCCAAAAGAAACATGGAACAAAAAACAACACAGCGTACAGTTAATGCAGGAATTGTCACTAATGTATAAAGGTTCCTGTGGGTTCACTGCTGATGGTTCTCTTGGCTCGTTCCTCTTGAATTGTCACATTCTTTCATTTTCTGTCTCCTAAAATGACACAAAAAGAACAAAAAGCATCATCAGATTTGTTGCTATAAGCAACAAGGAAATATTTACTGTTCTATATTGTACTGTATATGGAATATGTTTTAGGAGTTCAAATAGGAAAAAATGGAAGTGTACCTTGTAACTGGTACAAAATAATATTTTTTTGTCTAATGTATATTAAGGTATTCAGTTTGCGTGAAACCCATACTTGACTAAAGCATTAGCCACAAAGATGTAATAAAAAAACTCAAGAAAATGCATTTGCTTTAATGCAAACCAACTAATTTAAAAGAGCACCACAAGATGCCGTTATTACTCTTGTTAGCCAGAAAAGTTCATAGTCTAATGATTACAGTGTTACAACATAACTGTGCTAGTAAGGTATATATTTTATAAAGATAAAAAGATTATTGCAGCTAAGATATCAAAGGTCTCAGTGGGATATAAAATTGACTACTTCTAAGATGCATTGTTTTGGTCTTTAGGTATAAGCAAAAATTGTGCAAATCTTCAGTAAGGCTGGGTTCACACCTAGGCGTATCGAATATGCGTGTTTCCGAGGGCTACCTGGCTGTATCTCAATGGATACGCGCGGCAAATACGCCCCAAAGAAACTCCTGTACTTCTTTGGGCGTAGGGTGTTTTGCAGCGCGTTCCTGCGCGCTGTAAAACCCCCACGTGGGAACCATGCCCATAGGCAATCATTGCTTTTCACATGTTGAGCCTTTTACAGAGCGTAGGAACGCACTGTAAAACACCCAGGTGTGAACCAGGCCTAAGAGAAACACCATTTTAGTATGCTGTAGCAGCAGTGTAAAACTGGCCTGTAGCAGGACAGTTTTAATGAGGAATAAAAGGCCTAACCAGTGTATGCCTAACTTTTATTTTTGCTATGAGAATAGGGGGTGAATGGGGGTGAATGTGAATGATAACATTTTAGGTGGTCTTGCACATAGTTTTATTTTTCTTTCAAAGCAGGCAGAGGCATGCTGCAAACAAAAAGCAGCTCCATGAACACATTTTCAGCAAGAAGTATATTCTGTGCTTTCAGCACCCCAAACTTAAAAAAGGCTCTATCAAAAATAAATGAAAACCAGAAAATAACACCTCTTAAACAAAAGCCCACTTTTTTTAAAGTAAAGCCTTTATACAAAAAAAAAGTTTGCTTTGGTTGGGACAGCAGCTTAAAGTGAACGCTGACCTCCAATCAACTTGAAATAGAATTGAGCACAAAAAAGTCCCCAATAATAGGAGCAATAAAAAGGCAGGAAATGGGTTGGCTGCCCAAAGAGCGAGCAATCAGAATTAAAGTGCAATTCCCCAAATGCCAATCCTAATCCCATCCTATGCAGTTTGTCAGCTTTTCCTATCCTTTCCCTATAGCATTTTCCAATACACTGAAATTATAGCTGCCCTGTGCCTCCTCTTTTATAGTGATGGGGCTGGCGTATCCAAAAGCACCCTTATTGGTCCTTTTAAGCCTGCTGGGTATAGTTCAAAGCACATGCAGTGCATTATGGTTTAGAAAAACTCTCCTGGGAAAATCTGCACATAAATTTGCCAGGATTACAAGTCTCAAACCTGCAGGATATGCCTCGTACCCAACCCGAACCTCATCCCTATGTGTGACACAGGAAGGATGAAGGGGTGAGTAGTGAAATAACCCAGCTAAACTTTATTGTAATGCTTCAAAGATTGTTAAAAACAGAAAGATGGAGTTGCACTTCAAACTTTGATTGTAGCTATTAATATTGGAGGTCAACCTCTGACTAAAACATATGCTAGTCACATGGTACAAATGAACTGAGTTGACATAGACTGTAGTTCTCAATATTCAAAGCAAGCAATTATAACTTTATTTTACAGAGGGAAAACAGTGGGGCAATAAATACAGTTTTTTTTATATATAAAAATACGGCATGCATGATTTTTGGTCTTTTGTGGTGCGTTATGCTGCCCATACAAATGAATAGATTGCCCTAACCAATGTGCCATATTGTGTGACACGGGCGTTAACGCACAGGCGTTTAATGCATCACAGTGGATCATGCTGGTGTGAATGAACTTTAATAATTGCAGGAGGTAAGCAAATCTTAAAACTCTAGTAAAATTTCAATACTGGAGTTCCCAAGAGATACACAAAGCCTGCAGGTAATTCAACCTACCAGCGTCCACCCAAAACAGATTCTGACATATTATTGCTGGCGCCCGGAGGCCAAACATTATACTTTACCGAGCAAATTCATCAAAGAAAAGAAAGTGATGTAATGGGCTTCAGTGTTGTTTGCACTACGTTGACATCTGGCTTCACTTTACACTGATACATCCCGCCAGATTAGGTTCTTAAAATGAGACTGGCAGTATTGGAGACCTATGCAGGATAAAAGTCTCTTTCACCAGAAAGACTGATTCCATGGCTCCTGTACAACATACAGTGAAGTCATTTCTCCACCAGATAGAACAGGTTTACATTACCCACACATGCTTGGAAAATGTGGACTGGCTTTCTGTTACTTTCACTCAACCAATTTAAAGAAAAATCAGCTTTCTGCTGCATTGAAATGAATGCGAATATGCAGCCTAGTAATTAGATCAATCTGACACATATTAAAATTTGTATTTCAGTGTGTACTAGTGCTACTGTAAACCCTTCATCTCAATTAATAAAATGCATTAAACTAGCATAAACATGGAAGCAAGGGGTCCCTGCGCGTACCTTCAACCATCGTCATGATACCCAAAACCGTCATACTCCAAATTTGGGTGTCAAAAGCTGGCTTGAGCTTCCCCAATGGCCCATCATTAGGATGGAAGGCCTAAATGACCAAGAGTGACATGAGGCGATTGTGAGAGGGAGCAGGCTGGGTGTTGAATTTAAAAACAAAAGTCCAGATATAACCCATTAGGGTTTCAGAGAATGTTGCACGTATCTCCAAGGTGCTAGTTTAATGATTAGTCCATCAGTCTATCTATCTGTATGTCTTACTACCTGTCTGTTTATCTATCTATTTATTTATTTCTTACAGGTATTTATATAGTGCTGTCAATTTACATAGCGCTTCAGATATTGTACATACACATGAGTCCCTGCCCTCAATGGGCTTAAAATCTATGGTCCCTATCTCACATACAGACACACACACACACGTACTAGGGCCCTATCTATCTATTCATCTTCATCTATCTACCTGTGTATCTATCCTATCTATGCAATGAGGCTGATTTACTAAAGGATTTGAGAATGTTTACACACAAAATTGTGTGGTGTTTCACTTCAATTATCCAATTATGTGAAAAGAAAATTCCTGTTTACGTATTTCTTTGTCACATGACTGGAAATTTACAAGTGATTATGCATGAGCATTCTTAACTCCCTGTGAGTGTAGGTAGGCGATTTAGAGGCTGTTTAGAATGTTTGTACTATATGTGCGTTTTTTGCCTAACCCATAGACTAAATGAAAATGTCTGAAATATGTGTGGAAACTCACGCTTTTCAAAGATTTTCAGGCGTTCCCATTAAAGGAGAACTATGGAGTTAAGGCTTTACCCCATAGTTCTCCTTAGGGTAACGGGAGGACACAAACTAGCGTCCTCCCGTCACCCTAGGCTCAGTATACCGCGAGCTGTAGCTCACGGTATACTGAGACGCAGCCGTATACCGCGAGCTGCTGCCGGGATCCGCCCAGCTGCGTGACTGACAGCTGGCTCTGCCAGTCAGCGCTGGCAGATCGGAGCGGGGAGGGGGGAATCCAGCCCCTCCCCTGTCACGGCAGAGAGCCGTGACAGGATCGAGAGGTGAGCGGTGAGCGAACGCCGGTATGTGTTTGCTCACCTCCCGATCTACTCAGCCGACCTGTGACAGTCTCATTGTTACAGGTTGGCTAGAACTATGAGGTGAGTGAAAAGCACTCATCTCATAGTTCTTCTTTAAGACTCCATTCACACCAGGGCAACATTGCTTCAGCGCTCTTTATGCCTGTTTTTTTAGCACATTTTTAATGCGCTTTTCAGTGTGTTTTACAAGTGTTTTCTGTTCATATGTAATGCTTTTTAGGCTGCATTTTTAGCTAGTCCTTTTTTAGTTGTATAATGAAAAGCAGTCTCGCCGGCAAAAACATGCAAAAAAACACGCAAATATGCGCAGATCGCCGCATTAGCAATAAAGTCTATGGAGCTGATAGGTGCCACAAAAGAAGCTCACGGACTATTTCAAACAACAGGCATATTTTTACGCGTTTGTGTGAACGGCCCCTATAGGAATACTTGGGATTTTATTTTGCATGCATTTCAGCGTGGAAAAAAATGCAAAACGAAACTCCCTGATGTGAATGAGGCCTAAAGTCTATGAGGCCAAAAAGCTTGATTTTTGCCTAAAAGAAGATCATGTACTTTTTTGAGATACCAATGTTTTGATAGATTAGATAGATAGATAGATAGATAGATAGATAGATAGATAGATAGATAGATAGATAGAATGAGTTGACATAGACTGTAGTTCTCAATATTCAAAGCAAGCAATTATAACTTTATTTTACAGAGGGAAAACAGTGGGGCAATAAATACAGTTTTTTTTATATATAAAAATACGGCATGCATGATTTTTGGTCTTTTGTGGTGCGTTATGCTGCCCATACAAATGAATAGATTGCCCTAACCAATGTGCCATATTGTGTGACACGGGCGTTAACGCACAGGCGTTTAATGCATCACAGTGGATCATGCTGGTGTGAATGAACTTTAATAATTGCAGGAGGTAAGCAAATCTTAAAACTCTAGTAAAATTTCAATACTGGAGTTCCCAAGAGATACACAAAGCCTGCAGGTAATTCAACCTACCAGCGTCCACCCAAAACAGATTCTGACATATTATTGCTGGCGCCCGGAGGCCAAACATTATACTTTACCGAGCAAATTCATCAAAGAAAAGAAAGTGATGTAATGGGCTTCAGTGTTGTTTGCACTACGTTGACATCTGGCTTCACTTTACACTGATACATCCCG